TTTTTTTTTTGGTTTTTCTCCGGTACCAGGAACTGAACTCACGACCTTGTGCTTGCCAGGCAGGTGCTTTGCCGCTGAGCTAAATCCCCAGCCCCCAGGGTCTTTACTTTGTATTCATCCTGAGCCTCAAAAGAGGAGGGTCTGGAGATGGTATGGGCGTGGGGGGATAGCCAACATACAATATAAAGGAAGCAAAGAGGCTTGCTTCCTCCCCATTTTGTTCTTGGGGCTTTTGCTGTCTTGAGCCACCTTGAAGTGTTGCCCCTGTGCCCTGCAACCCTGCCTGGCAACCAGCTGATTATAGACTGAAACCTCCACAAACTGTAAGCTAAATAACCCTTTCCTTTCTTAATTTGGGGTGTTGGATATTTTGTCTCAGCAGTGAGAGAAAAGTAACTAAGACAGCTCCCGTGTATTTTATCCAGTCTGTGGGGATTAGGGTGGTGCCAGTCCAACCAATGGACTGATCCAGCAATCACCCACCCTTAATCCCAGCACCCTTAATCTCAGCACTGCACTGCAAGTCAATAACTCATCTAGATTCAGCCACTTCTGAAAAAGCCCTAACCACATGAGGCTTTTGGGGGACATCTAGACACAAACCATAACATTGCATCTTTAGCCCCCCAAAAACTCATGCACAATCCTGTATGAAAAAGGCATTTAATTATCTCCAAGAGTTGCCAAAGTCTTAACAGTTTCAGTATTGCTGAAAAGTCTCTGATATTTAAGACAAACTTTTAGGGGCTGTGCGCCCCTTCACAAATGAAAAGAAAGTTACACACTTCCAACATTCAATGGCACAAGATAGATATTTCCATTCCAAAAGTTACAAACAGTGGGATACAAGGAAGGAGACCAAAGCAAGTCCAAAGTCCAGCAGAGCAAGCATTAAGTCCTATAGTTCCTTGTGCAGCATCCAAGGCAATCTATGGCAAGATGTGAACTCCAAAGTGCTTCTGGTGGTTGTAGCTCCTGTGGCTTCTCTCATGGGCCCACTCTGCTCCTTTCTTGCAGTTTTTTCTTCAGATGATCCACATTTCTGGCTTCTCCAAACTTCCTCCTTCTGAAATTGGGGTGGAAGCTTTCCTGACCCCACAACTCTTGCATTCTGCTTGCACCTAAAACCAGTGCCACATGGAAGTTGCCAAGATCTGCCACCAGCTAGAGCAGTAGCTGTAGGGGTTGAGAGCCTGGATTGAGGGGCACTCTGAATCCAATTCTGAGAAACAAATTATCTATGCTGCCCTGTTCTGGAACGTGGTGTTCTAGGGCTCTCTTTCCAAAGTAAAGTCTTTCATTTTTGCAATTTTGAGGCTGCAAAGGGTGGAGTCCTGCTGCTTCTTGTGATGCCCTCAAGCCATCTTTTCTATTCTCCCATTCCTTCTCACCAATCAAGATCTCTTCTGCTCTTTCTTTGCAGTGCACAGCTTTACTGGAGCTTCCTTTCTGGCCAAACTCACAACATTTTAAATCATCTTGCTGGGCTTTTTGCTCTTGATTCTCAACACAGATTTGGCTACAAGCCCCCAATAATAACCATGCCACTCTCTCAACATTCAACTGCTTTGAAATTTTTTTTGCCAGGTAATTAGTCTGCTACCCTTAATCTCAGTCTCAGGCAAATTCTCTTCACATAAGCAAAATGCTGACAAATATTCTCTCAAGCCATAACATACATCATCTGGAGTCTAACAGTCAATGCCATTCTTCCCAGCAGAAACCTCCCAAGCCTGGTCTTTACCTGCGGGATTTCTATCAGCCTTCTGGTCTCCCTAGTTCTAAACAGAGTCTCCCATACAGAACAGCCTAAGATATCCCAGCTCTACTTTTTCAGCCAATATCTCTGAACCATTCCAAACACTTCCCACAAGCCATTCCCAAAGGCTCCTGACTACATGGTCAGTTATAGTCACAGCAAGGACTCCACTTCTCTGGTACCAAATTCTGTCTTGGTTACTTTTCTTCTTGCTGAGACAAAATACCTGACATCCAAAGTTAAAGAAGAAAAGGTTTATTTAGCTCACAATTTGTCGAGGTTTCAGTCCATAGTCAGCTGGCTCCAAGGCAGGTTGGCATTTGGCAGAGAAACAAATGTTAATGGTGGCCAAAGACAGCAAAAGCAACAAGGGAAGGAAGGCAGGAGAGAAGAGAGGGGGAGAGTGAGAGAGGGGGAGAGGAAGAGGAGAGAGGGGGAGAAGGAGAGAAAGGGAAGTGGAAAGAGATGGAAAGGGGGAGAGAAGGAGAAAGGGGAGTGGGGAAGGGGGAAAGAGATGAAGAGAGGGAGAGGAGGGGGGAGACAGAGGAGAGAAGGGGACAGGGGAGAGGGGGAGACAAATGGAGAGAGAGGGAGAGGGGGAGAGGAGAAAGAGCGAGAGGAGAGAGGGTGAGAGGGGAGAGATGGAAGAGAGGGAGAGAGAAAGAATTAGAGGGAGAGAGGCCTCTTTCTCTCCTTTATATTATATTATATATTATATCTAGTCTATGGGGATTAGGGCAGTACCAATCCAATCAGTGGACTGATCCAGCAATCACCCACTCTTAATCCCAGCATTGCACTATGAATTAATTGTACATAGTAGATTCGGCCACCTCCAAAAATACTCTATGATCACATGAGGCTTTGGGGGGACATCTAGACACAAACCATAACATACATATACATATAATTTTATAAAAGCATAAAAATACTTAGAAATAAAAATAAAAGGATCAATAAGGTTACTTTTGGTTAGTGTGATTACAAAGGATTTATATATTTATGATTAATATAATTTATATGCCACATAATTGTGTATTATGTGTATATTAAAAGAGAAGTAAATATGTACATATACATTCATCTGTCTCTCTTTCTTTCTTTCTTTCTTTCTTTCTTTCTTGGCACAGAGCCATTAGACCTAGTCTCTTTCCTGATACTGAGACACAGCTGAGATTACTACCTGGGTAAAGGGAATTTTAAAGAGGGAAAGCAGAGTGGACAAGGCATTGTCTCATGAGGGCAAGGCTGGGTCTCTGCCTGTGGAACATTCTGCAAATCAAAGAGAATAGGTCTATGAATCTGGGGACATGACCAGCACCAGAACAAAACACAGAGGTAGGACAGGAATTTTAAAGACAGGAACTAACTCCTCCATGTATGATGGAGCTGAACATTCCCTTAATGCATGTATGTACATTCCACCCCACTCATAGTGCAAACAAGGGCCCCTGAGCCCTCAATCCATGAATATCCCCAGAGCCAACTTTGGCTGGCTATAAAGCCTTACTCCTGCCCCTTGTAAGAAAAAAGGTCATCTACCTCGCATCTAAAGCGATGCTCTGTGAACAGTTTTCATTTTCCTTGTCTTTGCTTTGCAAAATGTTACATCAGCAGCCAGAAACAGCAATCTCTTTAATACCTTACAGCAGGATATGCTTATGAGTTTGATATTCTTATGAGTTTGATATCATATTCTTTTGATATTCTCAGAGCTTATTTAGAATGGGGGCAGGGATGGAGGTTGAAGAAAGGAATAGTAAGGAAAAAGGGAGAGTAGCAGGTAGGTACGGCAGGCACACACCACTCATACAGAGGAGGGAGACCATGCCCCTTACTGGGAGCTGAAGAGCTCCCTGCCTTTGGTTTATTTCCTGTAGCTGCCTTTCAAGTAAATAGGTCCCCAAATATCACCTGGTGTCAAAAGAATGAAGAGGGTAACTCTGAATTAAGCAGGAAGAGGGCAGTGGGATACCCTAGATTAAAGGGTCAGGATCCTAGGCCTGGAGTATCTCTTATGAATTTAAGAGGTTTTCAAATTTGATTTCCATGCTTACCCTTGATTTCAGATACAAAGGACTGGATTTAGATAATATTCTTTTAACACCCTGTAAACTGAGAACTTTTAGGCAAGAGCCTTCTTGCTTATGTGGGAAGAGTTCTTTTATCAGGCATTGTCATAAGGGCTTTTAATAGGCTCCCTCTTTTATTTCCAGGTGACCACAATGTCTTAAGGTTTACCTTGCTCAGAGGTATGGAGTGGTTGCGGTCTCAACAGCGGGATGTACCAGCAAGTTCACTTCCAAATTGTGAGTTGGAAACCCACTGCTTGCAAAACTTTACTACTCAAGTAAAGGATAATCTCAGGCCAACTTGGCAAACTCCCTTATTGACCAGGAGACCCCAAAGCAAAAAGTGACTTGCTGAAGGCCACACAACTTGTGAGTGGGAGAGATGCAGTACAAAGTGGTTCTGCTGGCCTCCTTCCACAGCACTCATTTGAATAATCGTGTCTTCTTGATTCTATTAAAAAGTCCCTTAAGGCAGCTTCTCCCTAAGCCTGCTGACTCCTCTGCCCATTTTAGGCATGTGCGATCTTTACTGAGAGACCACCTTAATGTGCCAGTAGTTACTTTCCCTTCCACTGAGACTACCTGCAGGCTTGCACAGTGCCTGTTCCATACCTCTGCTTCCTAGGAGCTCCTAGTGCTGAACTTCTCATCTCTGCAACTGACCATGCTCCCTGCCTCCTACACTGAGGACAGAGTATATTTTTTCCTTCTCTGTCTTCAGCCTCAACAAGTTAATCCCATTCCAAGGCACTAAACGTGCCTTTGTTTCCATGTAGCCTCTCCCAATAAAACTTTCCTTTCTGTCCAAATTATTAGATTTTTTTATTTGGAGAAGTTGCATATGAGCTCTTCTTCTTATGGCATAAACTGCCAGGTGGAAGGAGCTGCACTGTTGTATGTTTCCAGGACTGAATGGAAGAGGTCACGATGGAACACTGCCATGATCCATGGGGCTTCAAACAGCCCTGGCCTAATCTCCTTATTTTACTTCCCTGGGTTTGTTTGGCATCACACCTTTTACATCCTGGTGAAATGTCTCCTGGGACAAAAGGATATTACAGCATGCAAATGCAACCAGGTCTCAGAAACATCCCCAGAGCATTATGTCGTTATTGTTGCCTTCCTAACCCCTTCCTCCTTTTTTTTTTTTTTTTGGTTTTTTTGGTTTTTGGTTTTTCTCCGGTACCAGGAACCGAACTCACGACCTTG